AAGCAAAATTGATATTTTTCTATGCACGTATAACATACTTAGGTTCAAAAAATGTTTTTAATTTTCTTATTTAAGTTTTATTGTTATTAAAGAAGGGCGCGGGGCTGTGTGTGTGTCAGAAATGCACGGCGGCGGTCCAGCGTGACGCGACGCTCGCCATTGTCGCTTGTAATAAACAACTCTCCGCGGGCCTAGTAACGATCTCGCCGCACGTTTGAATTGGGCAGTGGGCCGGCCTAAGACAGCGATTTTTAATAATTAATAACTCGTTAACTATTGCAAGACCTGCAAAGTGGTACAGGACTTTTCGACTTAGTCTAGTCCACTCTATCCCACAATAAGCATTGAGGCGGGTATTACATAACACACTGTATACAGGGTGAGTCACAACATTTGTGCCAGAGCTAGTGAGAAGGTAGAACGGATCGAGATGAACAGAAAAGTCCTGAACCATTTGCAATTTTCGCAATAGTTAACGAGTAATTAATTATAAAAAATCGTCGTCTTTGCCCTGCCCACTGTCCAATTCGAGCGCGTGGCGAGATGTGACCGCCCGGCGATCGATATTGCCAGGCGTGGGGGGGGGGGGGGGACAGCTCGCCGTTGCTTGCCGGCAAGCTTACGTCGCCGCTCCCGCGTCTTGGACAGTGGGCAGGGCAAACACGACGATTTTTGATAATTAATTACTCGTTAACTATTGCGAAAATTGCAAATGGTTCAGAACTTTTCTGTTCATCTCGATCCGTTCTACCTTCTCACGAGCTCTGGCACAAATGTTGTGACTCACCCTGTATACTTGAATTATGAATTTGGAGATTGAGTCCCGAAGAGACAGTCATTATGTATTCCTGAATAAATAACGGAGTTAAAATATATTTGATATATAAACCATACACCGTGTAGATACATATAAACCATGCACCATGCAGATTGCTATAAGTTTTATAACGGACGTAAATTTGAAATAAAATTATAAATAACTTAAAACATTAAATTGCAAATGGCGGCTCTCCATTAATCGCAGCTGTTATTTTCTCACTGTTTAATATTGTCACGTGAGTACCCTCAATGGAATGTATTTTCACCACATTTTGAGTTATCTTAAATAATTATGTATGTTAGTAACAAATAATTTGTTGAAATTTGAAATTTATTATCAAATACAGATTAGCGTAGTGTTTTAAAGATACCTCCTGCAAACCATAATCCTCTTCAATCACGGATCTAAGCAACGGGTTCGTAGCTTTTAACAACATTATGGAAGACTTCATAGGTGTCAGCGTAGAAGAATCATATTGCGGAATAGCTGATGAATATTTATATACTGTTGTGCACAGTGTTTTTAAATTTTCGAGTGAGAGAGACGTGTTCGTAGCTAAAAATTCTTTGGCGAAGATACTAAATTTCTTTTCCCAGGTCTTGTATTTCTTCAGTTCCGTTAGAATCTACCAAATTGCATTTTATTCTCTTAAGAAAGTTTGTATTTATAAATAAGTAACTTGGAAATATAAAATATACTTTTAAAACCAAATATTGTGAGAAAGAGTAATAAAATTGATACTGGTACTACCACACAAAGAAGATTAAAATATGTTTAAATATAAGAAAGGTAACAATAATTTCAAGCTCAAGAAACAAGTATACTTTTTCAGTATCTCCTGCTGAATAAATTTCCATAATATTGATTAAAACAATATTCTGGAGATCTGTATCATCCAAAATTGCAAAACTGCACTCTTGATATAGTGTTCGTAATTGCTCAGGAGCGCCGTCGATGAGAATAAGCCGTCCTTTAAAATTCATAGCTTCCAATCTTTTCGTTAGTTCAATTGCGATAATAGACCCGAAGGAGTACCCTACCATTATGAAATCTTTTCCAGCTGTCAGTTTTGGTAATATATGCTGTAAGAATATCAAAATCATCTGATTAACTATATATCTCTTAAATAAAAACACTTCTTTGTTCAATAGAATATAAAATTACTGATTACGTTTATAAGATGATCACTCGTGTCTGATATAATGTCTGTAGCATCGATGTTGTTTGTATAATAACACAGGGCCCTTGCTGAGAAGTTAATATTTTGCCCTAAATGATTGAATACAGTTCCACATCCGTCGATACCTGGTATGAGAAATACTTCGGTTGTAGTTTTCTGTCTTTTAGTCGAGAAATCTAAACAAGTTTCTGAAATGAAATCTTTGTCTTTTATAACACCAATTAAAAATTTCAAGTTTGGCTGCACAATATCCAGTTTATTTATATCCTGCGTATTATCTGCACTTGCATTGGATATCTCACTGAGCTTGGTAAAAGTAAGATTTCGTAACTCTTGCGCAGAGAAAAATATGTCGAATTCTCGTTCCAGAGTTTGCTTAATTTCCACGGCCATCATGGAGTCCATTCCAAGTTCTGCCAAATATGAATTTGGACTCACATCC